AGGGGGGGTTACCGCCGTTTTTTTTCCCGCCCCCCCCCTCAGGTGTTCAACGAGATTTACCCGGTGTGGACTTACTCCTACCTGGCGCTGCTGTTCCCCGTGTTCCTGGCCACGGACTACCTGCGGTACAAGCCCGTGGTCCTGCTGCAGGGCCTGAGCCTCATCGTCACCTGGTTCCTGCTGCTGTACGCCCAGGGGCTGCGGGCAAAAAAGTGCCTCGAGTTCTTCTACGGCATGGGCACCGCCACCGACATCGCCTACTACTCCTACATCTACAGCGTGGTCGATGTCAACCTCTACCAGAAGGTCACCAGCTACTGCCGGAGCGCCACCTTGGTGGGCTACACGGTGGGCTCCATCTCCGGGCAGCTCCTGGTGTCGGTGGCGGGCTGGTCCCTCTTCAGCTTGAACGTCATCTCCTTAACCAGCGTCTCCATCGCCTTCGGCACGGCGTGGTTCCTGCCCATGCCGCAGAAAAGCCTTTTCTTTCACCACCCCTCCTCCGGCCAGCAGCTCGGTTGCGAAATGAAGGTCATGGACTGTAAAAATGGATCGGTTGTCCGAGATCATCCCGGGGTGCAGAGAGCCCTGGGCTGGGAGGATGAGACGAAAGTTCCCTTAAACGGGGAGGAGCATCCTGCAGGGAAGCAGGTGAGTTGTGCCCTGGGTTCCTGGAAGCAAAAGGTGCAATGCTGGTGTGGGTGTCACGTAGGCAACTGTGTACCCATGTGTATGTGTGCCTGTCTCTAACATCCATCAGCAAAAAGCATCCCTCTGCTTATCCTGCTTCCTTATTTCCAGCACAGAAAAACTTAGGCATAGCTTCTTTTTGCTAACTGAGCGTGGGAGGCTTCTCATTTTTTGGGAAGTTGTTTTGCATGTCTCACGAGGCAGGGATTAAAATTCTCTAGGCATCAAGTCGTTCAGCAGTACAAAGCAAGAGACATCTGTGGGGCACTAAAAGCCATCTGCATGTCTAAATTGTGTGTGTGGGCATCCTGGGACTTGCAGAGAAGAGGGAATCCTTCCTGTGCCTTGAAAACGGTTGTTCCTTCAGCTGTGGTGCAATAAGCTGTGTAGAAATTGGGTTTTATCTTATGATCCTGGGAGGAAACTGGTCCAGGAAGGCCAGAGCAGCCCTTGAGATCACTGACAGGCTGACATGAATGAGCTGGAGGCCCTAGGGAGAGGTCAGCCTTGCTCCTTGGTCAGGAGGATGCTGTGCTGCTGCTGAGAACAAGGCAGAAGGTAATTGCAGATGCTGCTTTAGTCAGCTAGTGGGTGTTTCACCTAGCAAGGAAAGCCTGGTTAGCTGGGCTGGGGGAGGCAGCATCCTGGGCTGCTTTCAGCTTCTCCCAGCTACAGCCAGGAATTAAAGGTATTAACATTCCAGGGGCCTAATCCTGCCCCATCCAGCACAATCTTGTGCTAGCAAAAGTATTTTTAACCAGGTTATACTTGTGTGCTGGAGGGTATTCATTAAGCAAGAGAAATTCTGTGCCAGTAATGACTAAAGTATTAATACAATTTAGCTGTCCCTTGTGTTTTTTCCACTCCCAGTGATGCTGAGGAGTGGAAAAAAAGGTAGTAAGGGCAGAGTTAGGCTGTGGTCGTTGAGGACTGTAGTAGAAACACTTTAAAATGATTTTTTTTCATCACAGAGAACAGTCTTTCCCAGGCACACACTGCACAGTTCCCCCAGGGTTGGGGCATGCTGCCAAGAGTCCAAAGTTGCTGCTGCTATCTGGAAACTGCTCTGAAACTGTGCATGTGACAGCCCAGTGTGCAACAGCTCAGGGCTCTGATGCTGCTCCAGGGATCCCCTGCAGGGAACCCAAGTCCACAGAAAGGGCTACAGATGCTGAGAGGGCCTCGGGGGCTCTGCCCAGTCTCTGAGTTGGACAAGGAGGGTCCTGCCTGTGTGTGTGTGCATGCCAAACATTGCCCAGCTCTGCCTCCAAAGCAGAGACATCTTCATTTACTGCTCTTGGCATAAGGGGCTTGGCAACAGCACTGCTATGTCAAAAGCAATTTTCATTTGTTGTCTTCCCCTGCCTCTAGAACTGATATATTTTAATTATTTTCTTTTCCAAACCATGGGTCTGCCCCCTTTCATGCCCTTTCTAGAAGGATGTGTAGGGGAAAGCTTTGTGGTTCCCTCATGCTGTTTGTCAGAGTGCTTGTCTGTGCAGAAGTTGCCATTTTCAGTAGCAGTGTCTGGTGGAAGTGCCTCCTGGTTCTCTTCATCCCCCCCCAGGCAACATCTCACACCTTCAGTGAGCATTAACAGGGGTAGAGTGTGGTGTGATGAGGTTGCTTCTTTGAATATTTATAACTTCTGAATGCCAGGACTGAAGAAAATCTGTTTATTTGTGGGGAAATATCTGATGGCTTTCATGTTCTCTGCACTGTCACATTTAATTGAATTTAGACCAGGATTTTCTGAATGCTAGGACTGAAGAAAATCTGTTTATTTGTTGGGAAATAGCTGATGGCTTTCATGTTCTCTGCACTATCACATTTAATTGAATTTAGACCAGGATTTAAAAGTCAGTGCTGCTTTTTGCCTTTATGATTTGAGTGGTTGTCTTGTGATCCTGTCTTGTGAGAGTGGACATCATGTCCTGTTCTCCTGGGTCTCCTCTCTCTGGTGTCCTTTAGCTGCTCTGTAGTCCTTGTAACCTCTCACTGCTCTGTGCTGGAGGGAGCCCAGTGTGCTTGGGATTGAACTGTCCCTCTGCAGGGGAGGGGACAGCTCTGCTCAGGGCAGAGAGCAGCTGCTGGGGCTGGGCTGGGGAAGCTTTTCATTCAGTGCTCTCTGGAGGTTTGCCTCCAAGAGTGCCACTCTTTATAAATGAAAAAAAAACCCCTCACGTTTTTCTCCCCTTCCTTCTCCAGTTGCTTCAGGAGCAGAAAGTTGACATCCTCAAGGTGCTGAAAGATCTCTGGCAGGACTTCTTGCAGTGCTACTCCTCCAGGACCATGCTCTGCTGGTCTGTGTGGTGGGCACTGTCCACTTGTGGCTACTTCCAGGTCATCAACTATGTCCAGGGCCTTTGGGAGAGGGTGTTGCCTTCTCCCAGCCCGGAGATCTACAACGGCGCCGTGGAGGCAGCCTCCACCCTGCTGGGTAAGCTTCTGCTCTGGCCCCTGCTCTGCTCTGAGAGTAAACCTGAACCCCTGAAGGTCACCAGAGCATGGTTGGGAAGTGGCTTGCATTCCCCCAAGCATGCAGGAGAGGCAGCCTCAAAATTTGGGGGGAGTCTTTCCTGATGTGAGCCGGTGGCCGCACGCAGCCCTCGTGCCTGCAGTCCTGTCTGTGGGTGTTTAAAGAAGCCTCCCAAGTTCATCTTTCTTCTGAGATGTTTGGCAGGAGGCTGCAGGCACGTGGCTGTGTGTTCTTGGCTCTGGCAGTGGGGTTATGTTTGTTTTAACCACTCAGAGTCAAGACTTAGGGGCCCTGGGGTTTTGTTGGTGGGTGTGTGTGGTGTTTTTTTCCTTTGGGAGGATGTGAAGGTTTCCTGTACACGTGCAGTGAGCCACATTTAGTCATTCCAGTGCTCTTCAAGAGAAAAGCTATTAAGATGACAGAAGTGGCTTGACTTGAAAGGGACAGGTGGGTCAGTCAATGCAAACATTTCTTTAGGAAGCTGTCTAATACTGTTTCATTACCAGAACTAGGACAATACCCTTTTAATACAGCTATCATACCTTTACAGAGGCTTTCTAGGGCTTGCTGCAGTATGTTCCTTATTTTTTTGGATGGAATCATCATTCCACCACGTGCTGTGGACATCCCCTAGCTGGGGGCAAAAGAAACTAGGAAGGCTTTGGAGTTTCCTGGCCATGCTCTTGAAATTCAGTGGGAAGCTGTGGGTGTTCTGTAGTTCTAAAAGCTGGGCTGCCACCCATTGTTTGTGGAGTTGGAAGCTGTTGGCAGCTTGATTTTGAAGGCTGTGGGTATTAAATCATCTTGGGTCTGCTAAACCTGCACTTTAATAGCATGCAGTCATACACTGCTCCTCCACTCTGCTGGGGCACTTGCTTCTTGTTTGATTTCCCTTCCTCTACCATCCTGCCTGGCTTCCAGGGGGCAGAAGAATGAGTATCAAGGGAAAAGAGACCCTTGGTATGGCTAAATGGCAGCAGGTTTTAAAAATCACCACCAAAAAAAAACCCCAAACACCCCCAAGTCCCCAAAAAAATATTCTTCAAACCTTATTACAAATATCTCTGTCACCAAGGTCTTTTTTTTTTCCCCTTTTTTCTCTAAAGGTCTGTGGAAAATGGACCTGTTGAAAGAAAAGGTGCTTGGCACTCAATGTAAACCTGAAGCTTTTAGTTTTCTATTTTTATTCCCTCCCCCTGCCCACCCTGTATCCTTTTTATCAATGGTTGAATCATTTTGGGGGCTGTTTCATGAAACCAAATTAGCCTCTCTCCCTGAAGTACCCTTTCCTGGTGCCTCCCAGGTCTCATTTGCTCTTTTCATGGCTCCAAGTCACTCTGTATGAGCCAAGTTGGGCAACCTTTGTGTTGGATGCTGTTGCCAGCCCTGCCTGTACCCCTGCTGCCCTACAGAAGGGTTGAAGTTGAGCACAGTGACTCATTGTCAGCTTCATGTCCTGGCTAAGATAAACAGATTCCTTCTAGGGAGATCAACTGGCTGTTGAGGAGCATCCCTGCACCTCCTCAGAGATCTGGCAGTGCTTCCTCAGGGTTGTGCAACCCCTGGGTCAGTTGTAGGTGGTTAATTGCAGGACAGAGATTGTGTTGGCATCATTGAGTGTCACACTGATTTAACCTTGAGATGTGGGGGTTTGGCTGCTGGGGGGGAGCCAGGCTTTCAGAGAGCAAAATGTCAGCTGGGTGGTGTCACAGGAGGCTCTGGGGAGGAGAGTTTAGTGGCAGGAGATAAATTTCTTTCCTTTAGCACAGACATCTTCACTGCTCTGCAAGGCTGATGCCAAGTCTGACTAGGTTGCAGGCTTGTAGGCACTGATGGTACCTGAGGAGCCTTCATGTGCTGGAAGGATTTCCAAGGCAGCAGGCCAGCTAAGGGCTACAAGGAGCCCTTCCACTTCTGCACAGCAGCCAAATGCTGCACACAGTCCTGGGTTTCAAAGATCTCCAGTAAAACCTCCTTTTGTCAGCTTGCTGCTTGTCTAGTTTGCCTTGCACAGCAGTGGCATTATGCTCTTGGCTGCTGTTGGGCTTGTTTGCAGAACAAGGCCTACTTCAAATGGGAATTTGCTTGTCATTTAAGACCTATTTGGGCTTCTCAGTGGTTAAAACTGTGATAGTGCATGAAACACACCCCCACAAGTTGTCCCCATAGCAGCTCCTACCAGCTGTGCTTTCCTTCCCCTCACAGGAGCTGTTGCAGTGTTTGTTGTGGGTCACATAAAAACATCCTGGGCAACGTGGGGTGAAGTAGCACTTGCCCTGTTCTCCTTTCTTATTGCTGCTGCTGTGTATGTCATGGACACTGTTGAGAACATCTGGGTGTGCTACACATCCTACGTGGTCTTCAGGATCATCTACATGCTGCTCATCACCATAGCAACGTGAGTATCTTTTGGGTTTTCCTCTAAATTTCAAAGTGACAAAGCTGGTTTGTGTTCCATGTATCCAGAATCTTGCCCACCAGCAATTCAGAAATCTGTTGGGAGAGTTGGTGGTGTGATTGAGGTTGGAAACTGAGGCACAGAGATGTATTTGGCTGGTAGTCTGCCCAAGTTTAAAAGCCTGAGGGCACTAAAGTGATTTCTTTCAACTATTAGATGGTGTTGACAGCCAGAGGGATGTTTTTCATAAACAAGGCTGGAGCCAAGTGCTAGCAGACAAGGAGAGGACAATGCTCTCTGGTGAAGTGTCACCTTTCCCTAACTGTGCACAACTTCAGTGTTATGGATGACTTTGAGGAGGAAAACAGCTGCTGCTGGGAGACAGCCCAAGCACAACGTGAGGGGTGATGCTGCCACTGCCTGCTCCCAAAGGAGTTCTGACCAGGAGGGTGCAGGAGGTGATGGACCAGACTGCTGAGATTGCCAACAGCTCTCTGGGTTATGTAAAGCATGACAAAACCCTTCAGCTAGCTCAGACAGGAGGGCTGCTTCAGTAAGGCTGAAACCCACAGAGCTCCCAAAGCCTTTTGGGTTGTGTTTTTAAAAGTGTGTTTGGTTTTTGGCTTCTTTTTCTATGAGCCTGTGGGTGTTTTCTGGCTTCTCTACTCCTCTGTCATGACCCTGTTTAGACAAGCACACTCTCACTGCAAGGTAATTCAGATGGAAGACACTAGAACCAGCCTGTGTTGGTTCTAACCTAACTGTTGAGGTTGCAGAGTCTTCCTGTGGAGGGATGTTCTTGCATGCCCCTGTTTTTCCAAGCCCCTGTGGTCCTGGGCAATCCCTTTCTCCCCAGGTTCCAGATTGCCACCAACCTCAGCGTGGAGCGCTACGCCCTGGTCTTTGGGGTCAACACCTTCATTGCCTTAGCCCTGCAGACTCTGCTCACCCTGGTTGTGGTGGATGCCAGTGGGCTGGGGTTGGACATCTTCACCCAGGTATGACACACTCTTAGCTTTGCTGATGGGAGGGAGGGAGGAGAACCAATCCCTGGAGCTTCTCTTTTCTGGGTGAAGGGTTTGACAGAGAAATAACCCCTGGTTCCTGATGTGTTTAGAAGATGGGAGCTCATGGATTCACTTCCTTAAAAATGGAACAGCTTGATTTAACAACTTCTGGTGTCTTTTCTTTCCCCTTCTCTGCAGTTCATGATTTATGCCTCTTACTTCGCGGCCATCTCGCTGGTGTTCTTGGCCAGTGGCATATACAGTGTTATCAGAGCTCACAGAAGACAAGAGCAGATGCAAAGCAGACCTCCTGAAAGCCACTAGTGCACCAAGACTCCTTGGTGGGGTGACTTATGAAGATCTAGGTCTGGTTTTGAACCTCTGCCTTTTCTTCCCAAGGTGGTCCCCTGGATGGTGTTTGATGCATATTTGTACTATATTAGTAGCACATTTTAGAAGGTAAATGTTTTAGCTCTTACGTAAGTAAGACCAAATATCTTCTTTCTAAAATGCCTTTTTGTTCTTCTGGTGCATCTGTGGGATGTGCAGCTAAGAACAGTGAGTTTTCTCAAAGGATTAAAGCCTTGGGAGGTTTTAATCCAAGGCTGTGTCTGGAAGCTGCCATTGCAAAGGCAGCTGCATGATCCTCTAGTCAACTGCTGCTCTCTCTGTCACCTTGTACCATAGCTGATCATGGTGCTTCCCAAAAAAAAACCACAACAGTTTCCTGGGGGCAACTTGTGACACTGCTGAACTGGCTACCAGAGCACTACTTGTGCCATGAAGCTGTGGCCAAGGGAGGGTACAGCTGGAGGGGGAGCTTGGAGGGCACTTCAGGATACAAAATGCCAGTCCAAGAAACCCTGAGACATCTTTGCCTCTGTCCCTTAGGACTTGGAGGTTCCTGTGGTTACAGGAGTCACTGCCCCCCAACCCTGGGCTGTTGCAGGGATGGTGGATGTTAGTGTGGCTCTGAGGAGGAAGGACTTGCAGGGTTTTAAGCTGTTTTTTGGGATTGGAGTAAAATACTGACTCTGGTGACTAAACAGATGCCTTCAGCTGTGGTAGCTGGCAGGATGACTGCCTGAGGCTTTGGAAAAATGGTGATTTCTAGTCTGTCAGTTTTCCCCATTATTTTAAAATGCCTTTATGCTTCTGGTGGGTCTCTGTCTACTAGTTCTACCTCTTCTTTCCACCTGAGCAGCACAATGAATGTTTGGAGTGGGCAGTTCTTTTTTATTTCCTCCAGTCGAAGCAATTTGGGACTCGCCTCATTCCTGGGTTTTAAAAGTAACTTATTTTTTTCCAAATTCCTTGAGCCAGCAGGAAGGAATTGCACTGTGCAAATAGTTGAACACTGGGCTTGGGCACCTGGATACTTGGGTTGGCAACAGATACCCTCAGTATGCTGTGGAAATGGCCTGTGGACTGTCCCTGTTGCTGTGCCTCAGCCTCTACCACACAAAGCCAACGGTTCGTGTCTTTGGGACGTGCTGCCTGGGGTCTGTTTTGTTTTCAAAACAAATATGAAGCCATGAAATGCTAGCTGCTGAGCTGAACAAGGGATAGTAGGTGCTCATCCTTCATATCCCACCCTCTGAGTCCCTCAATCTGGTGGCAGTGGCAGCAAAGGCACGAGGAGTTGGGTGCGCAGCACTCGTGTCTAGTGACCGAAAGCAGCAGCTCCATTTTAACCCCATTTTTCATACAGAGAAAAAAAAAAGCCTTGATTTTTAACACAGTTATTTAAAAGCAAGTAAAAAAAAATATATATATATACCAAATTATGGCATTAACAGTCATTTTTTGACCAAAGTTGAGTGCACTGGAGGGGCACTGCTTTACATCCTCAGGCCTGTGAATGCGTGGAAGCCACACGTGGATGTTGTTCAGGTTCCTCTGTGCTGTTGCTGTGGTGATGACATGAATCCAGAGCTGTACACAGAGTTCCTGGTGCCTGTGAAATCCTGTAAACACGTTGACATTGTTGGTTTCTAATTGAAGAGCTATTTTTGTTAAATAAAAGCACACTGAGAGAGATCCTGGGTGTTTGGGTTGTGTTTTGATACCTTGTGAACCCACAGTGCTGCTGCTGCTGCAGGTTGTTGGAAGCATCTTGGTTGTAAAGAGGGAAAAATACAGGTCAAAGCATACAAAAAAGAAGCCAGTCTTCAAGAAGCTGATGGTTGTTGGCTGGCTCGTGCAGGGTTTTTAAATTAAGGATCATTAAGGATGCCTTAATTGATGAGCAGGTCAGAAATACCACTCCAGTTCTGCTGCCAGACTGGTCCAGTGAGAGGTCACCGACTGGTGCAGGTTAATCCTGATCAGAGCACATCAGTCTTGCTGATAGTGACTAAAGGAAAGAGGGTGTAGCTTTGCCATGGGAGGAGGGTTTTTCTCTTCACATTGACCTAATTACCAAATGGAGGCTTTAAAGGAGAAATGCTGTGAACTCCCCAGCCTGGCACACCCACACTTGGCTGCCTGGGAAAGCTCTCCCTGTCTTCTGCTGCTGGAAGGGGTGGCTTGTACCTGGTAGTGCAGTCTGGGCTGGAGGGGGAAGTGGTCTCTGAATGTCTGCTGATGGATGTTTGCTGTGGGTGGCAGCCCAAGAAGCTGCCTGCTCAACACCAAAGCCCAGAGGAATGGAGTGGTCTGGGGGAGGCAGCAAGGACCTTTCTCCCACGTTGCCTTGAGAGCCCTGCTGCTGAGGCAGGAGGGACTGTCAGCGTGTCAGCCTCACTCTGCATTCATTCATCTGCCTCCCCTGGGTGAATGCCCCAGTCAGCTCTGCAGGGATGAGCTTCTCCACAGGGCAGGGATTCAAATCTCTGCTCACACACTTCAAGGGAGGGGGGCTGGTGGCTCTCTGAGGGGGGTTCAAGCCTTTCACGTCGCTGGTGCTGTGAGAAGAACCCTGAGGCTGCTCTTGCCCGTGAGCCACGCAGATCCACGTGAACTGTGGCAATCCTTGCTCCTCCCATTGCATTCTCCTGTACAGCTGAGAGAGCTGGAGGGGGCAGACAGCTGCTGTCAGGAGCTGCCTTCCTGCCACAGCCCCCGCGGGGCGTTTTGGCAGAGATGAGATAATGCTGCACAGGGCTGGGGTGTCTGCCCGGGCTGCTGGGGTGTCTGCCCGGGCTGCTGGGGTGTCTGCCTGGGCTGCTGGGGCTGCTGCTGTGTTCCACTCGGTGCTGGAGGTGAGTGACCAGCAGGTCTGCCTGTCCTGCACTGAGCTTGCTGGGATGGGGTAAAGCTCCTGGGCTTTAGAATCGCTGCTAGGGGAAGGGGTCAGGTGCTGGGCTTCCACTCCAGAAAGTGAGGAATAGGGAGAGCTGCTGGGTTTTTTATGCTGTTTCAGGGACAGCACCCACTGCTGTTCCCCTGGGGTGGCAGTGGCAGAGCACTGAGGCACGGCAGGGGCACACTCC